GGACAAATCTGCTCCAAAAGACCTGTTTAAAGTGTGAAAAAGCTAAGATGTCACTTTGAGGCCTAAATTGTACCTGGCCCAAGCCATGGTATTTTCAATGGCATCATATGCATGCAAAACCTGAGCAATGAATGAGGAAGACCAAAGAAGAATTGATGCCTTTGAATTATGGTGTTGTCAAAGAATATTGAGTGTATCATGGACTTCAAGAGTGTATAAATCTATCTGGTAAGAGTTGATCAACATTCGGGGGACTCAAAAATTAATTTTATAAATAGAAAGGAAAAACAGTACTACAGAATCCACGGATCAAATTACCTGGTTTTCAAAAATCTACAAAAATATTTTTTGTTAATCTGCCAGTATAACAATGTGTGTATCTATCCAAAAGTCATCCAGTAGACTGGATAGACTCTACCTAGTGCTATGGCTTTTACGTAATTTTAAGTGAGAGCTTTTCCTATTTCTCATGTTTGATTTGTAATCTAAACCAGAAACTCAGACTCTTGTCTATAACCATTCCTGTATTGTGTCATTATGGCAAATCAAAATATAACATAACAAAACTAAGAAGCAGCTAAGTAGTTGAAATATGGATGATAGAAGCTGATATGTTTAAAAGTAGATTCCACGGAAACTCCCTCTATGCAAAAAGGCCAACTTTCTATGTGAATTACTTTCTGGGTCTTGACAAGTCAGGATTTATAAGTCAACATTTACCCATTTTAGAATGGGGAACCCAGGATAAGGGAAAATAGTAAGTGAAAGGCAAAGTGAAAGGCAAATGAAGTTGATGGTGACCAGGAAGATTAACTCTTTCTCAAGTATAGTAAACACACAAAATGCTCTGTTGAAGAGCACAGAAATGCCAATACATGACTATGTTTGTTCATTACCTGACGCAGGGTGAAAAGACTCCTAAGGGCCAAGGGAAGTGGGCCCAGTGAAAATGTGCCACTAAAACCAGAGGGAAATCTGTGGAAAGTGCTGGATCATGAGATCAATAGACGTAAAGATGACTAAGTTAGGTAGCTTTATGCAGTTTAAACATTTGTGCAGGGAATCTCCCCATGCAGCCTTTTATTGACAGCTCCAGATCAATGCTAATTTTTGATCATTTTCAACCTACATAAACCTATTGACCCCATGGCCACCTTTGGGGCACTTCAAGTCATCAAAAATAATCAGAGAAGATGGTGTAAAATTGTCAGACTGCTGAAGACTCCAAGTAGTTTCATGTGTCCCCAGGAGCAGAGTTGAGAGGTTAAAATGTAGTTCAAATTGCCAGCAGAACCTCAACTAGTAGAGTGTCCCAGAGAGTCTTGTCTTCATGCCTCATAAAATGATGCACTGATTTGTGTCCAGACTCTGACCCTTATGTATGTATGTTAAGAGAGAGATAGAGGGAGAGAGAGAGAAACAGAGACTGAATCTTACTGGAATTATTAGATTTTAGAGAATGGATTATCTCCTAGCAAAATAATTCTTCCTGTTCTTCTTTGTTTTTCTTTGTCTTTTCTCTTTTGAAAACTCCTCCAATCTACTGCCTAACAAAGGTAGCTAATATGCTTCCAGAATAAAAAAATCTGAATGTGATATAGACATGCACATAGAATAGACTGAATCAAAAGGGAAACAAATACAATTTGGTAGCCTAGAGGATTATAGGCCAGGGATAACAACAACAAAAGAGAAAATCACTCAAAAGGAATTGATAGGATGGAAGAATGAAGGGAAATGGCAGAATAATGACAATGAAGAGGGATATGTTAGAGTATTGAATTAGGATCATCTCCCATAGAGTAAAGAGAGTAAGGGAAGGGTGATGGGGTAGAGTAAGGAGAGAGGGGTAGAGGGAGAAGAAAGAACAGTGAAACAGAGGAGGAAGAAGGAAGGAAAATGACTTTTAATGATGGATTTTCACAGTCAGTGGAACAGAATGTTACATCTCCAAAGGGAGGGATTAAATACAAAACATTTGCAATTATAACCACAACACTCAAGAAAATATTGTGAATTTATGGAAAATAGCAAGTAGCTTAATAAATAACTAAGATATAGCCCAAATTAATTCCATAGAGTGGAACTGTGTCCAGATTTTACAGCAGGATTCTGAAACCTGTTAATTGTGAATTTGATGTGAACATCCATTCAGGGAAGAATGATTAAGAATTTTTCCTGAAATGTTGCAGAATACATTGTTAAGGATTGTTTTGCCATTTTTTAATGTCTTCATTTTTAAGTATGGCCTTTACTAAAGATTCACAATAATCATGGCTACTAATGAGATTTGTTTAAAAAGTGTGTATGTTTGTGTATAATTATTTTTGTGGTACTTGTTCAGAAATAACTAATGTAATATGGGAACATGTCCTTAGTGCAAATTTAGGATACAAAGTTCTCCTTCATCTATGTGGCTCTTGCTTTAAATACACAAACACACACACACACCCCAAATTAAAATAAACAACTGTTGTAATCATCCTTCATAGGAACACACCTTTAAACAGTTTCTGTGTCAGGAGTGCACAAACTTCAACTTGAGACCTTCAGGTCATATTTCTGCATTAGATGGTGGAGGTTTAGAGGCCAAGGCATTTTGAATACTTCTGCTTTCAAGGATGTGAGCCATAAATGTTTATTAAAAGAATCTATAATGAAATCAGTTTTGTTATTTTTTTAATGGTTGCCTGGAGTGTGTTGGATGACTGAATGTCGGTTGTTAATCATTAAGTACTCCTGTTACCAAAAGTGTTTGATAGTATTGCCATCTAGGGGCTGAATGGAATTCTCAGCTCTGAAATAAACTGTAATTGAGCAGGTGCTGCTATTGACAATATACATATGTTTTTGCTTTATAGCCCACATGCTTTTCATGTTTCTCATGACAAAAGCTATCTCTAAATGTCCCCCAACAGCCTACCTTTTTTATATATAATCTGTTAGAGGTGATTACTATTTGCTTTGCAGCTTCTGCTTTTTTGGCATCTATTACTGAATATTCTGAACAAAGAATTATTCTTTTTTGCATTATTAATCTTGCCCATGTTTGCCCTATTTCTGCAGAAAAGAAATCATTTATCAGAAAAGAATGTTTGTAATCGGGACTTGTAGCATCTTCAGATTTAATATTCATTATGATCATCCTAGTTCTGTGCTATATTTATCTAAAAGACCAATCCAATGTTGTGGGGAAATAAGTTTTAAATATTTATGATATAACTTTTAATATTTTAAAAAAGAGAAATTAGTATTTCTGTAAAATGTGTTTCAGAGTCTGGTCCCTTAGCAAATGTTTAAATATTAAAAGATTTCAAGAGGTTAGCATGTAATATCATAGTGGGACTTATTGAAACAGGAAAATTGAGTTCACAAGTTTTTGATAGGTGAAGGAAATTGTATTTTCTTTGCCTGTGTTTAACACGTAATAAGAAACATTAACACAGTTGAAACCTATAACCCAGAATGTGAGGACAGAGTGCCAAAAATTATTTCTACAGTATGTTTTGCTTTTGTCTAACCAGTAAGCTTGGAAAATAGTTCAACTCAGTTTTGTCACCTTGTTTTAGATTTTATTCAGAATGATATTTGGATGTCCCCTAATTAAGGGGACTTTCCTTATATAACTTTGATTCTCTTGTATATGTACTCTCAGAAAATATCCTCCTCCCCTGCCCATCAAGAAGAGAAGGCAATTAAAGGCCATTTCTCACATTTAAACATTTAATAAACCAAAGCAGGTCACACACATCATTAAATGTAAATTTTACTAAACTAATCAAAACAACTTCAGGACTTTTCACAGCCTTATGACTATCCACATCCAGTGGGTATGGTATGCAACAAAAAGTGCCTATTTGTATGTGTATTTTAGTTATATATATGTTACTTGTAGACATAATTCCTACCTGTAAATAGGCATATCTAGACAGCCGAGATGTAGAAAGAGCACCCTGGGACTTTCAAAACATTAGGATTCCTAGCTCCAGGTTAGATATACAAAATATGCTAAGTGCTGCTCTCCAAGCAGGGAAAAAATGGCTATCTCTTTCAATTTAAAGAGCCCTGGTGCCACAGTGGTTTAGCTCTCCACTTACCGGTCAGAGCTTCAAACCTACCAGCTGTTCCATGGGAGAAAGATGTAGCAAGCAGCTTACTTCCGTAAGGATTTACAATCTTAGAAACCCTATTGGGCAGTTCGACTCTGTCCTACAGGTAGCTGAGTCAGAATCAACTGGATGGCATGGATGGCAGTGGGTTTAGAGTATCTCCTTTTTTTTTTTTTTTTTTTTCTTTAAAATCAACAGAAATCAAATTCTCAAAGTCCAGGTCACAAAGTCCAGGTTAGGATGCTTTTAACAAATGAGAATGTTTTCACATATATATGAATAGTAGATTTTCCTAAAGGTGTTTGTACATTTAAATTTCAGTTGGTTTATTGTTTTTTTCTTTTTCATTCTTTCTTTCTTTTTTTGGAGTTTTAAGGTATCTTATTTACACACCAAGAAAATGAAAGGGAATTGGGGAAATGGAGAGAGTCTCATATAAAAACAAATAGTGTTGGGGATTAATAAAAGAGAATTATTGTCATTCTAGATAACTCTCCCAATTCTTAAGATGAACCTGGTGGGCAATGATAGCATACTTGCATGCAACTTAGTCCCAGTGTTGCCATCCTGAGCTGGATGCAGCACTGATGTGAGGCACCAGAGACTTTTTATGTTCGTATGTCATATCCTTTAGGTTGCAAGCTCTGCGGACACAAGGACCCTATCCAATCTATACTTTCTGGGTCTTAAATCACACTCTTGGGTAATATATTTAGAATTTTGGTGAGAACAATAAGAAAAAATAGCATTGTTTTCTTAATAATAATTCAAAAATGTCTGTAGTATTTGTGCTGCTATTGCTGATTTACCTAGGCATAAAGTTTAGAGAATGATCGTCCAACAATTATTGGCAACTTCTAAAAGAAAGTTAACCTGTCAATTTTCTTACAGGGAACAAGCTACAAAGCCCATCTGTTTGGGTTAGAACCATTCACAACATACCACGTTGGTGTTGTGGCTGCAAACCAGGTGGGAAAAGTGTCAAGTCCCTGGACTCTGGTTCAAACTTTAGAATCTTCCCCAAGTGGACTGAGTAACTTTACAGTAGAACAGAAAGAGAATGGCCAGGCATTGTTACTCCACTGGGAAGAGCCTGCAAGATCCAATGGTGTGATTAAGGTAATGTCTACCTTACATATGAACATATGTTTGGTGTTATCCTGTTAAACAGATGAGCCCTAACATACCATCAGGTCACTGTGGGAAACCTCCCTGTGTAATTCTCCTTGGTGGCTCCTCCAGGCATTTAATCATAGAGAAAACTAGCTCCCATGTCCTTTGCTTCCAATAAACCCAATACTTGGCTACATGCTCTCCATATCTCATTTAATCTTCTTATCAGTCTTCCTATGTGAATACCACTAAAATCCATGAGGCATGCCGTTAGGTGCCATTCATGGATTTTCAGCAGATACAAGTGCTCCATGTGACAGAATAGAACTGCCTCATCAGGTTTTCTTGGTTGTAATCTGTACAGGAGCACATCACCAAGTCTTTCTCCCATACAGCTGCTGGCTAGGTTTGAACTGCCAAACATTTGTGCTTAACCTTTGCTCCATCAGGCATATATAGGTAAAATAACTGCCCAAGTCCACATTATCATGATTAAGTTTGGATTCAAGACCCAGAAATCACACCAGAGCTGAACTCTAAATAGCTGTGTTCTCGCTGCCTCCTGAGTTATCCTACTCAGTTGTTTGCTTAAGCCTTTCCTAATTTGTGCTTTGAGCAGAGCTCATTAAGCAAAAGCAGGAAGCCACACTCATCTGCTCACTTCCCAACTTCTCCTGTATATTTTCACTAGAAAGGATCTTATCAATGTCACATATATATCCCAGGCTTCTCCAGCCTATGAGTATAAATGAGGTCTCATTTCTACTAATAGCACACATCTCTATGCCTTGAGCCTCCACTCACTTGAAAAGCAAGACTTCATCTCCTTCCTGAAGGTCTTCCCCAAGAATGTGATGACTCTCCTTCAATCTATGCTACTGCCTCTGTCTATCATCTCCTTTGGCCCTGGACTACAGGTTAGGACCACCCAAGCCTGCAGCTGCTAACAACACACTGCCCTCTCCTTCACTGTTGTTTTGAACTGTCACTGAGACAGCTCCTAACTCATAAAGACCCTATGCACAGTGAACGATAAGGCCTTGTGTGTTTCAATGGTAGACTCTTCACCCTCTGTGCAGGAAACCTGTGTTTGATTCCTGGCCAATGTACTTTATGCACAGTCACCACACATCTGTCAGTGGCTGTTTGCATGTTGCTGTTATGTGAACAGGTTTTAGTGGAGCTTCTCCCTAATGGAGACTAGGAGAAAACCTGGAGATCTACTTCCAAAAATCAGTCAATGAAAACCCTATGGATCTCCTTCATTACTCCTTCTCACAGTGACAAGTTCTACTCCATTAATTTCAAATAGAATAGTTAAGACTAAGGTATAAGTTTTAATAAAGATTTCCTGAAAGACCTATGAGAAGGATGACAGAAGGAAACCACACATGGCAATAACAGAATTGTAACAGGCCCAGGTCCCTTTTTATAAGCCTCTTGCAAGCTGTCTCACTGACTAGTGCAATGGCTATCTCTCTGCCTAGCTCCAGGGCTGCTTATGTGCAGCAGAAACTAGTCTTTCTCCACCAGCCTCCCTTCATGTGACAGAGCCAGAGTTCCTCTACCCTGGGGCAAGAGGCTTGAGCCTTAGGATCTATGACTTTAAAATCCAAGCCATAGCCCTCAGGCACTCATCAGAAAAAAAGAGTTTCTCCCTTTACATCCATCAAAACATTCCTCCCCATTATTTGTTTCCTGTCTTAGAGACTACCTCTTCTCGGTATGATTGACAGTAGAAATAAATACTCCTTTTACCTTAATTTACATTTCACCAAATATTTATTGAACTTCTACTAAGTGTCAAGTACTTATTCAAGAGTGAACAAGACAGGTAACATCTCTGCTCCCATAGACCTTATGTGTTTGCATGCATGTATGAGTGATTGTGTGGAAGTATATGAATGGTGGGTACAGAAAAGCAAACAGTGAGCTAGTAAATAAATAAACAAGGGAATCTCAGAGAGTGATGAATGCTACAAAAAAAATTAAACAGGGTAATGTAATTATGTCTGGCTCAGGCTATTTTAGAATGGATGATCATTTGAATTGAGTTGACATCTGAGCCGAGCCCTGAATGACAAGGCAGAGTCAGTCATGTGGAGATATGGGGGCAAAATGTTCCAGACAAAATGAACAACAAATGAAGGCCTGAAGCCAGGAATGAACTTGGTATATTCAAGGAAAAGGAAGAAAGCCTGTGTGGATGAAGCATTAGAAGAAAGGCAAAGATGGCACTAGAAGAGATTGGAGCATATTGACATGAGGCAGATTGCACCCCACCTTGTGAGCTATGTTAAGGAGTTCAAAATTTATTCTAACTGAGTGAAAAATTACTGAAGGCTTTAGGCAAATGGCATGATCAAATTTATGTTTTGAAAAACTATTCTGGCTGCTGTGTGGAAAATAGACTATAAGGGACCAATCGAGTTTGGAAGCTATTGAAGAAATTCAGGGCAGAATTGATGGTAGGGTAGGAGTTGTGAAAGTAGAGAAATATGGGTGAATTGGAGATCTATTTGGAAGGTAGAGCTGACAAGACTTATTAATGGACTGGATGTGAGTCATGAAGGAAAGGAGCACCTTCAGGATGATTTCTGAATTTTGGCCTAGAGCCTTTGTCTGTGAAGGGAAAGATTAGAAGATGAGTAGGTTTGAGCAGGCAAATAGCCAGCTGGAGATATAACTCTAAAACTCTGGAGAAAGCTCTTCACTAAGATGTATGTCTGGAAATCATTAGCATATAGGTAGTATTTAAAGTCCATGAACCTGGAAAAGATCAGCTATGTAAATAGGAGAGATGATGAGAACCTAAGGTCCAGTCCTGGACACACTAAAATTTGAAGGTCAAGATGAGGAAAAATAGTCAGCAAACGAAATTGAGAGGAGCCAATGAGGTAGGAGCGAATGTAGTAAGTGGGATGTCCCAGAAGTGAAGAGAAAATATGTTAAATGCTGCTGAGCAGTCAAGTAAAATGAGGGCAGTGAAGTAACACCTGGATTTTGGAATGAGGAGGTCATTGTGATTTTTGACAAGAATAGTTTCATCCAAGTGGTAGAACAGAAAACCTGGTTGGAGTAGCTGGAGGAGAAAGAGGAGGCAAGTAAGGAAGTGAGGACAACAGTTATGGGACACTTTAGAGAAGTTGAGATAAAGAGAAATGGGGCACTAGTTGTGAGACTGGTATAAAGAGAAGCTTTATCTTAAAATCAATTGAAAATAGTAAAGAATATTCAAATGGTAATGGCAATAACTCAGTAGAGGGAAATAAATTGGTGATGCACAAAATAATGAGAACAACTGTGGGAGTGAAGTCCCTAGGAAGGAGGAAGATGGGATCCAGTGGTTAACAGGGTCCGAAGGTATCCAGAGTTAGCCAAACTGTGAGGTTAAGGGCACAGTACTCCAGATTGCAATGTAAGCCCAAGACTTCTGACTCCAACTACAAGAAGTTAGGGTCTAACTATAAAGTTAGAGGGAACAGTTCACACAAGACCATCCTCAATTCTCACACCAACAACAAGTTCAAGAGTTTCCCAAAACCACCCTCAGGTTCAATTAGAAAGACTCACAGAATGCACTGAAAGCTATTATATACAAAAGCAAACCAAACCAAACTACACTCACTGCTGTCGAGTCGGATCCAACTCATAGTGACCCCTCCTTGGGTTTCCTAGGCAGTACCTCTACGAAAGTAGATTGCCCAACCTTCCTTCTGAGTAGTGGCTGGTGGGTTTGAACCACCAGCCTTCTAGTTAGCAGTCAAATGCCTTAGGCACACAATGTCCCATTTATTTCAGAGAAAGGAACTAGAAGGGTTCTAAATACAAAGCTTCCCATGTCCTCAGGAGATGTTACCCTCCCTCTACCTATATGTAACAATATGCACACAATATTGCAAATCCAGGAATCTCACTCAAACTTTGTTTTTATTGAGGCTTCATTTAGAAGGCAATTATTTTCTGCTGGCTTCTCTAGAGAAGTGAAACCAGTGAAGCATATACGCATAAACAGAGAGGGGCAGGGGTTTATTTCAAGCATCACTCCCATAGTTGTGGAGTCTTGTAAGTCTCAAACTCTTGAGTCAGGTGTTAGGCTGGAGGCTTCTCATTACTTATGTGGTTGTAGGGGCTGATGACTCACATCCCAAGAACTGGTGGTCAGAGAATGCACAAGTCAGATGCAGGATAAAGAGAGGTAGAGCTTTGCTGAACATCCATGTACATTGGATGCAGGTCACACTCTAAGGAAGATCCCCTTACATCAGATCACAAAATGGAGGATAATACTGAGAATCATGACCAAGCCAAGTTAGCAAATAACATTAACCACCATAACATTATTCACAATTGACTCATTGCCCACATGGCTGAATTCACTCTACAGTTCCACTCCCCAGAGCTCAGTATGAAAGTCCCTACCCTCTAAACACATGGTTGGTCTTTTGGGCATTGTCAGCCCCCATCCTATGGCTATAGAATGTGGCCAGCCCCTTCCTGAATCATTGCATCACCATAAACTATGTAGTGTGGTCCAAGGTGTACACCATAAATAACAAAGAAATTTCATCAAATTCAGTGGTTTAGAGGGTATCTTCCCTAACAAATCTGTCCTGGTGGAAGTGCAGCTGGAATGCTCCTTGGAAGCAAGAATGGCCAGACTTCATCTCACCTACTTTGGTCATGTTGTCAGAAGGGACCATTCCCTGGAGGATATCATGCTTGGTAAAGTGGGGGTCAACGGAAAAGGGGAAGGCCCTCAAAGAGATGGATTGCCACAGTGGCTGCAATGATGGGCTCAGGCATGGCAGGGATCATGTAGCTAGTGCAGGACTGGGTAGTATTTCATTCTATTGTACATGGGGTCACTATGAGTCAGAGATGACTCGATAGCACCTAACAACAACAACAACAGAAGATATCTTCCAGGATCTAGACAAAAGCTAGGCTTCTCTTTGGGAGGAGGCCAAATTCCTTACTACACACATGGATGGGGGTGGTAATATATAATGTGAGGACTTTCCTTTTGATTCCTTCTATTTTCTGAATGAAATATGTGGTTATGTCAGCAACCAACTAGAAAGGAACAGGGTGTTGATGGCTAGTGGGAAAAATAAAAACCAAAACTTACTGCTGTCGAGTTGGAGTGGGAAAAATAGAAGATAATAACTGGAAAATGAGATAGCAGACATATGGAAGAATATAGTAGGATTACAAGTTGAAAGGGAGCTCTAGTGGTGTAGTGCCTAAAGCAGCTGACTGCTAACCAGGAGGCTGGAGGTTCAAACCCATCAGCCACTCCTTGGAAGGAAGACTGGGCAATCTACTTCCGTAGAGATACTGCCTCAGAAACCTAATTTATGGTAAGAAATTTAAACTGAGGCCAGTCAGCCTGGCAAGGTGATTTTCTTTAAGCCAGTTAAGAGCTCAGTGTAGGCAAAGAGCTGGATTTAACACAAGTTAAAGATTTGCCAGATGAAAATCATGGACAGAGACAGGGGAAGGGGAGTTGTTATAGGAGGTTGAGATTTGATTATGAAATCTAAACTCCCTTCAGAAGGTACTCTAGTCCCCTTTCCCCAAGAATGTCCTCTTGCCCTGGGACCCTAACAAGATAAATCACAAATACAATATTCCAATATTAACTGTATTTCCAAAAGTCCAGACTATTTAATCTTCAATAACATTAAAGTATATCAACAATCCTGCCTAAGTTAAGCTTCTCTGGAAACCACCTCTGGGGTGCCTCAAATTAAGCATACTTCCCAGAGAATTTTATTATGTGTCCTGTCCCCTGTTGATAGTCATTATACATACCAGAAATTGCTACCATCTACAGGAAAGTGTCATATTTCTCAGGAGTCATTGAAGCAGGAAAAGAGAAGAAAATCATTCTTCATAAACATCTCCATTCAAGTTAACTTTCTTCCCATTTTTCCCAAAGAACAGAGAATAATACAGGGATGAAAATTTCCTCTACCTTTATATAATGTGTGTTCAGATTGTTTGCACCAGGACAAAAGAAAGCTTTGCCCCAAAGTAGCAATCAGTTCTTCCATGGCTTACAAGGGAAAATAGGGTAGTTGTTTTTTTTTTCTTTTTTCCTTCTTCTAGTAATTGAATTTACATTATATATTCATATAATAATATCTAGATGGCTGGCGGTTCAAACCCACCAGCCACTCCTCGGAAGGAAGGTTGGGCAATCCTACTTCCGTAGTGATACTGCCTCGGAAACCCAAGGAGGGGTCGCTATGAGTCGGGGCCGACTCGACGGCACATAACAACAACAACAACAACATAAATTTTATAAATATATTAGCAAAATTCTTTTACTTCATAAATTTATAAATATTAAGTAATATTTGTATAGTAAATATAATATATTTATATTACATATTTTATATATTTCCATGTATAAACAACAAATACATGTATACATAAACACAAGTGCAGGAACATTTTCAGCCTCGTACCTTGCTGTAAAAGATAAAGCATTATAACCCCATTTCCCAGCTAATGCTGAGGGAGGTGGACAATGGAGATAGGCCCTATTTACCTACTTGGAATGAGATCAGAAGCACAAAATTGGGGATCTAAATACTGTTCCCTACTTGAAAAAAAGTGAAATCCTATAAACACTGTTTACGTCAAACAATCAGGCTCAATAATCCTTAGTTTTTAGAAAAATGCTTGGGTATTATCCAAACCAGAAAGAATGAGAAAAAGGAGGGAGTAGGTGGTGGGTAGAGAGAGAAAGAAGAGAGGCAGAGAAAGAAGGAGGGAAGTAAAGAGGGAGTAAGGAAAGAAGGAAGTCATTATTCCTCTTTCTGCAGACCTTAAATTAACTGGAAAATATCACTTTCCAAAAATTAATCTCAGAATAAATCTTATGGATTAGGGTCATTAAAATAAGGAATAAAAGGGGAGAGAGTGTTAAGATGTACAAAAGAGCTGCACCAAGCAGGGATATGCTATACGTTATTCATTTTGCTTCTCTTCTTCTTTCAGACTTACAACATCTTCAGTGACGGTATCCTGGAGTACACTGGCTTGACCCGTCAATTTCTCTTCCGTCGCCTGGACCCTTTCACTCTCTACACGCTGACCCTGGAGGCCTGCACCAGAGCAGGCTGTGCACACTCAGTGCCCCAGCTTCTGTGGACAGAAGAGGCCCCTCCTAGCTCTCAGTTGGCCCCGACAATTCAGTCTGTGGAGTCCACTAGCATTGAGCTGAGCTGGTCCGAGCCTGTTAACCCAAATGGAAAGATAATTCGCTATGAAGTGATTCGCAGATGCTCTGAGGGAAAAGCTTGGGGGAACCAGACAATCTCGGCTGATGAGAAAATCGTTTTCACAGAATATAATACTGAAAGGAATACATTTATGTATAATGACACAGGTTTGCAGCCATGGACACAGTATGAATATAAAATTGACACTTGGAATTCAGCAGGCCATACCTGTAGCTCCTGGAATGTGGTAAAGACGAAGCAAGCTCCTCCAGAAGGTATCACTCCGCCTGAGATATCCTTTGTGTCTACGCATCCCCAGAGATTGCTGATTTCCTGGGTCCCACCAGAACAGTCTAATGGTATTATCCAGTCCTATAGGCTTCAAAGGAATGGAATGTTCTATCCTTTCAGCTTTGATGCTGTGACTTTCAATTATACAGATGAAGAACTGCTTCCCTTTTCCACATATAGTTATGCAGTCATAGCCTGCACAAGTGAAGGCTGCTCTACCAGCAAACCTACCAATATCAAAACTCCTGAGGCTGCTCCAGAAGGCGTCAGCCCTCCAGCTCTTTGGGATATCAGTGCCACTCAGATAAATGTATCTTGGTCACCACCATCAAATCAAAATGGGAAGATCACTAAATATCTACTTAGATATGATGGTAAGGAGTACCATGCTGGGCAGGGCCACTCCATGCTGATTTCTAACCTGCAGCCTTATACCCAATATAACATCTCCCTAGTAGCCTGCACCAATGGTGGCTGCACAACTAGTGTGTCCATACCCGCCCAGACATTGGAGGCCCCACCACAGAACATGGATGCTCCAAGATTGCAAGTCACTGGCTCAGAATCAATAGAAATTACCTGGAAACCTCCAAGAAACCCAAATGGCCAAATCAGAAGTTACGAACTTAGGAGGGATGGAGCCATTGTATATACTGGACTGGAAACTCGCTATCATGATTTTACCCTCACCCCAGGTGTGGAGTATGGCTACACAGTGACTGCCAACAACAGCCAAGGTGGTATTTTGAGTCCACTTGTCAAAGACAGAACCAACCCCTCAGCACCCTCAGGGATAGAACCTCCAAAATTACAGTCCAACAACCCTCAAGAGATCTTAATTAATTGGGACCCTCCAGTGAAGACAAATGGCAATATTGTCAACTATACCCTCTTTGTCCGTGAATTGTTTGAAAGAGAAACAAAAATCATACACATAAACACAACTCATAATTCTTTTGGTACACGGTCATTCCTAATAAACCAGCTACAGCCTTTTCAGAGGTAGGTAACCAACTCCAAGAGCAAGCCACTGTTATGTCTGTTGCATGAACACCCAGGTGGTTCTAATGATAACTATAAAAGCAAAATGGGATGATGTCCTCAATCCCATCACTTGGCCATCAAAAGTGGATGAGGCACATTCATATCCAGCAAAGCCAGTTTGCATAATTTCTGGAGAGAAGAATTCTTGCAGGTGACATTTTGAGAGTCATTCCTTCAGAAATGTTTGTGATTCGACATGGTGTCTGAAACAAGTAGTGCAGAGATGGGCCAGTTCCATAAATCTAGTCCTTTCTGGAGACGAACAGGCCTCTGGACAGTTCTGAGAGCCCTAATGGGATCATCTAACTCAGGCAGTGAAGAAAATGAAATATTATTTCATTTTATTGTTTCATATATTTCATTTTCATATTGTTTCATATATTTAAAGCATGCAAAGAGTGTCAGTCAGTGTGAGCTCTTACCAGCCAGAGTTGAACTGAACCAAAATATGTGTTGGAGGGAGCCCTTCCTGTTGAATCTAGCACTTCTTCCAGAGATACTGAGGCTGCTCTGACTATATTTCTTCACCCCCTTTGAATTCCCCCAGCTCTGATCTCAGGGTTTCTCAGGACAGTACCACTTTACTAGCTCAGGTATTCTTAGCAGTCACCTCTGGACTCTCCAACATGCATGAAAATGTATTTTTCTCCACACAAAGGAATCTTACCATCACCTCCTCTTACCATGGTTTAAAGAATTGCTTGGCATTTTTTCCCATTATACTTTAAGTAACTTATGTTCCCAGAGAGCAGAGTAATAAAAAACACTTTATGTTTAAAATTTAGTAAAATGAGCACACCCACTTAAAAAAATTAAAGGGTGAAATTGTGTTGATTTCCAACCACCATAGGTAAAATTCAGCTATTATTTTAATCTACTGATGTGTAGATTGGATCCCTCCTGTAATTATCTCTGATATATAGTGCTGTTCAAATGAAACATTCATGGTCTTATGCATCTACTCATGATAATTATTTAGGGTCATATTAAATATTAAACAGTAATTAAAACTTCCGCAGGTATCCGCCACATGCTATGTATGTGAATTGGCTTTTATCTTGCCCTGATTTAGAACATAAAAAAAGGCCCACCTTGGCTGCAAAGCTGTACATTTTATGCTGGTTCCTCTCTACCTGACTGCTCGCTGCAAGTTTTAGAAATCACATCCATTTTCTCCCCTTTGAAATTGTTATTCAAAAAGATTTATAGAGAATACAAGTGTTGTCCAGAAGTTAAAGGGACATTTTTCCAGGCTGGAATAAAAAAAAGTTTGATTTTTTATAAACCTAGCAATGAGGTTTAAGGCTATGAGTGATATCTCACCATTATTCATCCTAATTAAATATATAAATGACGATGATGTAAACAGAATATAATCCCGAAATCATTTCTATCAGAAGTTGAGATTTGTATTAGTTACCAAGTACTGTCATAACAAAATATCGTAAACTTGTTGGCTTATAAAGAACTGAAACTTAGTGTCTCACATTCTGGAAGCTAGAAGACTGAACACAGGAGACTGAATGCAGGTGTGGCAGGACATTGTTCTCTCCAAAAGCTCTAGGACATCCTTTCTTCCCACCCCCACTCCCCTAGTTTTGTCTCTCTCGGCTTCTGGTAACACCAGGCAGCTGCAGGATAACTTTGTTGTGTCACTTGCTCTTTTCCCTGTCTGCCTTTATGTGTCCCTTCTCCTCTTTTATAGGTGTTTTAGTTCTCTAATGCTGCTATAACAGAAATACCACATGTGGATGGCTTTAACAAACAGAAATTTATTCTCTTACAGTTTAGGAGGCTAGAAGTCTGAACTCAGGGTGCTGTCTCAAGGGGAAGACTAGCCTAGAAGCCCAAATTCAGAGTGCCTGCTCTAGAGGCTAGGTGGAGGCCCCTCAACTTTGGCCTTCAGCTCTGCCTACCATGCCCACTGAAGCAAGCTGGAGGCTTCTCCTGACTCACACAGTTGCTGGCTGCTGGGGCTGGCCAATTCAATACTGGCAGGTAAAATGGCAGATTGTTGGCTCACAGGCTGTGAAGGCAACAATTCCCAAGATTGGCAAGCAAAACAGCAGGCCACAAGTTCAAGTCTAAGAACTGGAAATGATGAATAACAAACCAAATGCAGAATTTTTTCCATATATGCTGGAAGCAAGCCACACCCTGAAGGCAACCTCCCCTTCAAGTGATTAACCACTCATAGCAGATTCTACCATAGGAGCTCTGGTAGCATATAGTGCCTAACACATTTGACTGCTAACCAGAAGCCTGGCGGTTCAAACCCACCAGTCACTCCTCAGAAGGAAAATGGGGCAATCTACTTCCATAGTGATACTGCCTAGGAAACCCAAGGAGGGGTCGCTATGAGTAGGGTCTGACTCAACGGCACATAACAACAGCAACAAAGCAGATTCCACCACGGAGGTGATTACACCACACCCAATCAAAATCATGGCCCAGCCAAGCTGCATACAACTTTGACTACCACAATCGGATGCCATAAAGATTAGATTTGGACTGTGTTCACTGATGACTTCTTTGAAGACCCTATTTTTAAACAAAGTTATATTCACAGAGACTCTAGGTTAGGATTTTATCATATCTTTTGGGGGATACAATTCAATGCATAACACAGAGGGTTTTTTTTAATAGTCTTCTTTTTTAAATATTTAACAAAAATTGCAAATTAGTGTCCTCCTTGGGGTACTCCCAACTGGTCCATAGAGCCACAGAAGAAAGTAGCCTGCAAATAACCTCAGTAAAAGGAATCTGATCCAGAATTTTTAGACCACCAAAAATAATCCAGGAAATTAATAATCCAGATGTAGATAATCAAAATTGACTTCATGGGGCTGCTTAGAGGTCAGATAGGCCATATGTGGCCACAGATTTGTTCACCCTCAGAGGCTGCTAGGCCAAGCTAAGGCTTGGTAAAATGATGAGTTAGTGACCAAGAGGAGATGGGCATAAGAAGAGAGGGAAAGAGAGAGGATCAGAACAGGAGAATAAAGGAATGTTGTTATTCTTATTAGGTAGTGAGGAGTCGATTTTGACCCATAATGACCCCACATGACAGAATAAAATGGCCCCATAATGCTTTATTGTTTCTAGGCAGGAGCGGTTCACTAGGTCTTTCTCCTGTGGAGTTGCTAGGTGGGTATGAACGGCCAACCTGTAGGTTATCAGCCAGCACTTAAACCTAGTGCCACCAGGACCCTCACAAAGGAAGGCTGTGTGCTATTGAGTTGATTCCAACTCCTAGTAACACTATAAAACAGAGTGGAACTGTCCCATAGGATTTCCACGGCTGTAATCTTTATGGAAAAGGATCTCTGGTGGCATAGTGCCTAAGGTGTTTGCCTGCTAACTGAAGGGTTTATAAAATCAAATCTTAGAATGAACACCCTCAGCAAAAAGGGATGTAGACTCCTGAAAGTAACCAATTACCCAACCCTATAATGATTAATGTCTGATTCTTATTGGAAGTTCCAGTTTGGTACCCCTGAAAATAAGTTAACCAACAAACTCCCTAACGACTAATGTCTAGTTCTTGTCAAAATCTATTTCTGAACAGAAACTACAGGAAAGAAACAATAAGGGCAATATGACCTATGTGGAAAGAATGAGCCAACCTTGGGACTAGAGAGAATGACGTTTTCAATTATCAATCAAAGAAGCAAGGAAGTCTGAAAAAAGTAATATAAAAGATCCCTAACTTAGTCAGGGGTGCTGTTCTCTTGGATAGAGAGTCAGCCTTTATGCTTCTATGATTTTACTCTTTAAATAAACTTTTCTTTCCTTTTCCTCTGGCCTGGTTCCTCTCAACATCGGTCACCTAATCTTACACTAACCAGAAGGTTGATGGTTCAAACCCACCAGATGCTCTGCGGAAGGAAGATGGAACAATCTACTTCTGTAAAAAATTACCAGTTTGGAAACCCAAAGGGTGTCGCTATGAGTTGGAATAGACTCTATAGCAGTGAGTTCAGGTTTTTTAGTTTGTTTGTTTGTTTAATCTTTATGGAAGCAAACTCCCACAACTTTCTTCCCCAGAGCAGTTTATGGGTTCCAACTGTCAAACTTTTGGTTAGCAGTCAAGCACTTAACCATTTTGTCACTAGAGCTCTTTATACAAAAGAATTCAGAAGTGTAACTGAGAAGGGAAAAGGTAAAACAGAAAGCAAGAAAGAACAGAAAGGAGTGATCAGAGGAGCAAAGAGGAAGGTAGAAAATGAAGGGGAAGAGGCCAGAAACAAAAGAGATAAAGGGAGAGGGTCTGGGAGTTTGAGGGTGAATTAGAGGTGTCAATAAAATCTCTAGGGCATGGGAACAGTGAGGGAAAAAAAAAAAAAAAAAAAAAGCTCTCCTTTTCAGTCATAGGCACTCATTAATAATAAAAGCCCCACCACCACCCCTTTGGAAGGAAAAGCCCCTGCTATGTAAATAGACCTTTCCACATGGCAGGAGACCAGCTCTGAGGCAAAAATAATTGATTGGTAGAACTTAACTGGATGGTGATAAGGTGTCTCCATGATTGATAATCTAGAGCAAAGCTGGGTTAAATTCTGGCCCCAAAAGGTCTTTGTGTGGTATAAGAGGGCCTGTTTTAAGATGTCAAGTATCAGGGGAGGGGATTTATTACCACTGAGACCTTAACTCCATAATGTTCCTTCACAACCTGGAAATATTTGTGGGAAATCATTTAGTCCTAATGGCAAAGGTAGGAGGAGCCCAAGGCAGCCCAAAACCAGTACATTCTCCCCAAGGCATGCATTCTTCAACACTATGTTAAGTAATTTTACATAGCATTGGAATTGTTACACTGGAAAGAAGGTTGAGACTTTATTCATTTCAGTACATTTTTTTTTAGGAAAAGAATTGTGTTTAACCCTTTCAGACAGATGAGAATCATCCCTTTAGTTTGGAAAACCAGGAACATTTAAAATACAAGGAAATATGACTGTATTGTTCTTTAAAAACTCAAAACTGACTGCCATCCAGTCGTTTCCAACTCAAGTGACCCCAGAAGCAGATTGCCCAATCTTTCTTACAAGGAGTGGCTGATGAGTTTGAACTGCCAGCCTTCTGGTTAGCATTAAAATGGCTTAAGCACTATGCCACCAGAGCTCCCATTCTTTAAAAGGGTGCCTAAAGCACTTGACTGCTAACCAGAAGGCTGGCAGTTCAAACCCACCAGCCACTCCTTGGAAGGAAGGTTGGGCAATCTACTTCTGTAGTGATATTGCCTCGGAAACCCAAGGTGGGGTCTGTATGAGTCAGGGCCAACTCGATGGCCATAACAACAACAACATATGTAAGAACGAGTCCCTGGGTAGTGCAAACTATCAAAGCCCTCAGCTGCTAACAAAAAGGTTGGAGGTTCAAATCTTCCCCGAGGTATGCTGGGAAAAAAGCCTGATGATTTACTTCCCAAAAATCAGCCTTTGAAAACCCTGGGGAGCACAGTTCCACTGTGACATGTATGGGATAACCATGAGTTGGAACGAACTCAACAGCTTGAGTTATAGATGCAAATAAGTTTATTTAAAATTGTTCCTTTTTTTTACCCCCTCAAAACACTTCGGCTTTTAAAGATTCTTCCTGTGAAAATCTATTCTGCTGATAACCAGTAATTTCTGCCTTGTGCCCTAAAGGTATGAAGTTCGCATTCAAGCGTGCACCATCCTGGGATGTGCATCCAGTGACTGGACTTCCATAGAGACGCCTGAAATTCCACCTCTGATGCAACCTGCTCCTCATTTAGAGGTACAGATGACTCCAGAAGGATTCCAGCCCATGGTTTCTCTCTTGTGGGCAGGGCCACTTCAGCCAAATGGAAAAGTTTTATACTATGAATTGTACAGAAGGCAAATAACAACTCAGCCTGGAAAATCAAATCCAGTGCTAACTTATAATGGAAGCTCAAGCTCTTATATTGATTCTGAACTACTGCCTTTCACAGAATATGAATATCAGGTAAGAAATGTATATTATCAACCATTCAGACTGAGATTGTGTGCATATATCAGCACCTGCCTGTGAAAACTGCTTGCAGTTTGAAAAGCCACTTAAAGAAACATAGGGCTTAAGGAGTTTAATAATATTTAAAAAAAAAAAAAATGTTGGCAATAAATGAAAGAGTGAAGACTGTATTCCCTTGCCGCCGCCTTTTTCTTGGTTCATGTAATATATGCTTGTTATTTTAATGTAGAATTTAGGTGAGGTATTTGCATTTCTAAGGACTCTAGTGATGCATTGGTCACTATGAGTCAGAATCAACTTGATGGCAGTGGGTCTGGGTTATTTTCATTTCTTATTGATGAAGTGGTTTCTACTGTTAAGGTTCCTCCATCGGTGTTGCCTTAGTAGGAAATACTCCTTGTTAAATGACCACTTTGAAAATAACTCATTAATTGTATCAAGACAGATAAAATCTAATGGCAAGCAACTCCAGCCAGTGCTCAAGCATGATGACTAAAGTCTGGAGGCAAACAGCTAACCTGTACACTGGATGAAGTAAGTTTTATATGAGCACAATCAAAAACTGGAACTTTGCACCCCCCTATAAATAAATAAATAACCCAAATGCACTGCCATGAGGTTAATTCTGACTCACAGAAACCCCCATTGGATTTCTAAGGCAGTAAATCTTTACACAAGTAGATTGCCTCATCTTCTTTCTGCAGAGCAGCTGGTGGATTTGAACTGCCAACCTTCTGCTTACCAGGCAAATGCCTTAGGCACTGCACCACCTTCCACCTTCCTTTAGGAAGGAAGCCCTAGGTGGCACAAATAGTTAAGTGCTAGATTACTAACTAAAAAGATAGCTGTTCAACCCAACCCAGAAGAACCTCAGAAGAAAGGTCTGGCTATCTGCTTCCTAAAGATCACCAGCTTGAAAACCTGATGGCATAATTCTATTTTGTACATGGAGAGTTGCCAAGAGTCAGAACTGACTCCACAAAAGATTCAGAATAATATTCTGAAAATGTTTCTTGAAATCTATAGAGAACTTCTGTTAAGGTTTGCTTTGTTATCAGAGCCCATTTGCATTCTTGTGGTAATGTTGCTGTTGTTAGGCACAATTGAGTCGATTCCAACTCATAGTGACCCTATGTACAACAGAACTAAATACTGCCCTGTCCTGCGTCATCGTAAGGATCCTTGCTATGCTTGAGCCCATCCCTGCAGCCACTGTGTTAATCCATCTCATTGAGGGTCTTTCCTTTTTTTGCTGACCCTCCACTTTACCAAGCATGATATCCTGCAGCAGGGACTGGTCCCTTCTGACCATAAGACCAAAGTTGGTGAGATGAAGTCTGACCATTTTGGCTTCTAAGGAGCATTTCAAATGTACTTTTCTTCCAGGACAGATTTGCTATGGTAATAGCAGGTCCATTTCCAATCTTGATATGATTCTCTGCACCTCTACCTTATCTCAGGCTTGGTGGGAGTATCAGTCAAAGTGTTAGGCTGTCACCTAGCCAAGAGGTGGGCACAGGCACTTCACTCAGACCCTCAGACTTGCCTGGGGTATGATCTTCAGCAGTGTCTCAGAATGAGAAAAGGTAGAGGTGAGAAGTCCTGATGAAATATCTCTAACCTCAATCCAAAAGCTTCCTTCATCCCTGTTGGTTACAGCATAATTATTCAGCTGTTCCTTTAATTCCATACCCTCTCAATAACTCCCTTTTGCTTAAATCGGAATCTGTTTCTGTTGCTTGCAATCAAAGGAAGCTTGCTGACTGATGCAAGCACTTTCTAAGTGCCAAGCATGTCAAGTGCAATTGTCTAAAAGCAGAAACTGAGCCTTATGAAGCTTACCATAACCAGAAATAATAAAATCACTAAGTTACCAGGAAGATGGCAACAAACTAATGAGTATAAAACTTGGATCTAACATTTTAAGTGTGATAGAAGATATTTTAGGCCAATAATGTACAGAATAAATTACCTAATGAAGTTAGTAAGAAGCGAAAATATAAGTAGATTTCTGAATAGTTTGAAGCTACAGACAGATAGAAATCTCTTATTTCCAATTCCAAATCTAAAAGCTTCTAAAACCCAAAAGTTTTTTTTGTTTTTGTTTTAAGTTTGGCACAACTCATTTGGCAGAAAAATCTGATCTGAACAGACTAGGGACTACTGATAATATTTATCCCATTTAATGTGACTTCCCAACAGGGGTCACTATAAGTCAGTTGTGGTTTTGTTTATTTGTTTGTTTTTTAATGTGACTACTTATATGTTTTTCTACAGATATTTTGTAGTTTAATACAAGTGGTTACTCAGTCCTACTGAGGATGTTATATAAAAAACCAATATATGCTTGCATTACCTTTCTAAAATCTGAAGAACAAAATAATTTAAATATACATCAGACCTCAAGGGTTTGAGATAAGGATTGTGGTTTATGTTATGAAGAAACAAAATATCTATTGATGCCACAGGTGGACACAGAATATAGTTAGAAACAGAACTTGGCAGCCTTCCTTTTGTTCTTTGGTTATTATCTTTAGTGAAATGTGTCAAGTTATCAAAGGCCCCTCCACCATCGATTATCTAATCTTCCTTATGAATAAAAACACACCTTTTGAAATAGCTGGGTGGAATTAGCATAAAAGCTTTGGACTCTAATTAGACAAAACTAAATGCCTCATAGGTACTCATCTTTGGCAGCATGTTGTGTCAGTGCATTAAACAACTGGCCATATGATCACTAGTTTCCCATCTCAGTTTTCTTTTGTTGTTACGAGCTGTTGAGTTGATTTTCAAGTCATGGTGACCCATGTGATAGAGTAGATCTTCCCCATAAGAGCTTAACCAGTACACCACCAGGGCTCCTACCAGCAACCCAGGGGCCCAACTTCAGAGCGGAAACAAATTAAGACCTCAGGTTGTGCTAATTCTTTTGGAACTGCTCCTCTTCCATTCTAATTCCACCCACAGGAAAGCATTTAATTTAACTTTCATAAGAAAATTACTTCAAATGTGTGTTTACTATTTACTAACTACTCCCATGTTGTTACAACACAAGGAAAGAAAGCAGGGGGGGAAAAAAAAAAAACCTAACCTATCAGTCCAAAATCCCAGTTCTTACAGAAAATGATACTTTGAAAAATATAGATTAAATGCTGCAGTAAGTACACTAAAATATTGGATTTATCCAGCCTATGTCAACACTAAATCTATATAAAACCAAACCCATAGCCTTCAAGTTGATTGTGACTCATAGTACCCTATAGGCCAGAACTGCCCCATAGGGTTTCCAAGGCTGTAATCTTTACAGAAGCTAACTGCCTCATCTTTCCCCCAGTGAGTGGCTGGTGGGTTCAAACCACCAACCTTTTGGTTAGTAGCTCAGCATTTAAGCACTGTGCCACCAGGGCTTCTGTGAGCCTGTATAGGCGCAGAGTAATCCTACAGAAGCCCTTTAAGAAGTAATATACTTAAAGAATTGATTCCCCTTTAACAAAAGAAAATTTTCTCTTTAAGATGAATTTGCATAGCTCACAAACCTAGCAGAGGGCTACTTCATCTAAAAGTTGCCTTTTAGAAAATATAGTCCTTACCTGGACACAGTTTTTCACCCAACATCTGGCAATGAGTTCACTCTTCTGTAGAAGATTGTATTTTTGAGGTAATCAAGTGTGTGCATTTTAGAAACTGCCCTGAGGTGTGGAGCTATTAATCTGAAGGGTCCTGATGACCTGAGATGATAGGGTTTGTATATGTGCCCTGAGAGTGTCAGATATGACTCACCACCACCCTCCTACACTGCCAAAGGTCATGGAATTCACTTCTGTTTTTGTGTTGTCATTGAAGACAGCTGCTAAAATTTAGTTGTTTGTGGGAAGAAAAAGACTGCATTTCCTGGTCTAAATTAAATCATCAGATCAGTCAGCTAGCAGTAGAGCACTCTACATCATTAAGGTCAAGTCTACTTTCAGAAGGTAGCTCTTCCCCAGTCATAGTTTAAGTGCCTTCCAACCTGAGGGTCTCATTTTCTAGCACTATATCAAACAATGTTCTACTGCTATTCATTAGATTTTCAATGGCCAGCATTTTCAAAAATAGACTGCTAGATCTTCCAAGTCTGTCTTAGTCTGGAAGCTCCATTACCGTGGTGATCCTGCTGATTTTTTAAATAACAGTGGCATCCCTCCCAGCATCATAGCAGCATGTAAGCCACCATAGCAGGACAAACTAACAGACAAGTGGTAATTGTACATTCACATTCATATTCTTGCTTAAGGCAATGACTCACCAGGGATTTGCTGCTGTCTGCCATGGCTCTTGCTTTCACTAAATCTTGCTGTCAGTAACTTAATTAGTTTCCCTGAAATTTCTCCACTTTGACAGATTTTCAAGATAAGCACCCACACATACACAGGGTCTCTGAAGTCTTCTGGTGCCATTGTGATTGGGTGACCGAGAAGTGGCAGGTCACTCTAAGCAGGATCTCTGTGACTTACTCTTGTATAAGTCCAATCTTAGAGCTTGTGCTTCCAGAGTCCACATGGGAATGGCAACTTGCTACTCTCTAACAGGATTCCTTGGGTGGTCCAAATGGTTAACATGCTTGGCTGCTAACTGGAAGGTTGGAAGTTCAAATCTACCCAGGGATTCTTCAGAAGAAAGAATTGGCAATTTGCTTTCAAAATATCAGCAATTGAAAACCCAATAGAGCACAGTTTTACTCTGACACACATGAGGGCACCATGAGTCAGAGTTGACTCAATGACAAGTGATTTTTTTGTAACTTTCTAAGAGACCAACACTATCTCTAAACAATTCGGTCGGAGGATTTACACAAAAGAATATCGAGAGAAGGATGGTAAAGGAGGCATAGAAGGAGAACCTCACTGCCTATTGCTGAGTGCAGATTGGGCTTCTCTACATGCATCCCCACAAAAGTCTACCAAACTATAGCCTTGTAGAAGAGGGAAGTAGAAAGGGCATCAGTTTCTAGTCCT